AAACACAGAGACACGCCACATAATTTTTTTTAATTTGTGCCTAAGGATAATACTGTAAAATACGGTATTATTACTTTTTGTTATCTGTTATATTAAAAAGTAATATTAATCTGGAAAGCATACGTCGTACCTAAAATTTTACGTATAATGGTACCAATTTCGTGAGTGTATTATATATTTCAACTTGGAGTAAATACTGTCTTTAGGACTCCAGAGCGACGTTCTTCATTATATTGGTACTATGGAAATAACAGCTTTATTACTAGTTTTATATTTTAAAATTTATTTTATTAAAAGAAATAATATTAACTTTTACTTTACTTACTACAAGGTTAATTCCGTTAATTCTGTTAATTCCGTAAAAACCAATTCCCAACAAATTAACACAGTAGCGATTTCAAATGATTCTTAGCTTTAACGACCAAAATTAATAAATAGCGTGAGAAAATCGGCCCAGATAAGTATTCGAAAATATCACTTATGTAGATCTAATTGGTCCAAAGTTTAGATGATCTTCAAAAAATCACACTCAAACATCACCTAATGAGTCAAATCGGCCCATATGATGAACTTAAAGAATTTTTCATAGGTTAAGTGGAGGGTGAAATTTTGATGGCAATACTGGGGAAGATAAGAAATTGTCCCACAATTATAAAATTTTGTAGAAAGATAAGAAATTGTCCCACGATTATAAAATCTTGTAGAAAGTTCAAAATTTGCGAAAATCTAATATTAAGGCTTACTTTACGCAAATTCTTTAATTTTGAAACACTTTCTCAAAGTATGGAGATAAAATAGAATTTGGAAAGGTGATATTATTTGATAAACCCAATATTACACCTAAGTTATTCGAAATTCTTTTCAGGTAAAAAAAAATTGCCATTCAGTGATTTCCAGTAATTGATTTCGAATACCAGGAATGGAGTGATATGTAAATATCACGAAGGGTATTATTATAACGCGAATTAATGGTGTATGTCGCAAACTCTTGTAATTTATCGGTGATATATGTGGCAAAATAGAGATGTGTGTATGCATTTCAAGATGTAAGATTGGGCAGGCATCGGCAATACGGTAATTTTGTTCGAGACAAATAATTGGATGACGTGTGCTGCGTAGCCAGTCATTTGTCCAACAAAGCAAAATTATCATTATTTATCAACGCTTCGTCTAATATTTATGTTTATCCGGTAGCTTATAGTCATGATTCAGCAATCTTTGGCTAACTGAATTTTAAATCGAATAAACATGAATGCATCATAACACGCAAAAACAAAATAAAAAATAAAAATAAATCTATTTTCACTCGGGCTAAAGTCACCGATAAACTATAATGCCATTTACGTTAGTATTAGTAATATTTCGGGTGACTTTAACCCGAGTGAAAATGAAATCTTCCATAAATAAATCCACGACCATAAGTGGTTTCCGGATAAATAAACGCCGGAAAGAGTATAAACCTGCACAAATATAAAATAAATAGGCATGCAAAAAAGAAATTTAATTTAAAAAAAAAACTAAATAATAAAATATTAAATCTAGATATTAAAACTTCTAATTCCAGTTTTCTTAATAAATCATTTTTATAATTGCATGAAAAAAAAACGATGGAGAAATATTGAAACTAATGAGCCTGTCCATTTAGTCGACTTAATACAGATTTACAAATCGTTATTAAATATCCATTTAGTAACGAAATCTAAACCTGCAATTGGTTGGCACGAGCCACAAAATTCCCTGATTCAAAAATTCTCAGGAATGTAAATCCTTTAAATGTTCTAACAGCACCAGCATTATTACCAGTAGTTGTTATCCAACGAGTAACATTAATATTATTAATCCACGTTTCACAACCCAGATAAAAAAATGATTATAAATTAATTTTTGATACAAAAAAGCACAAAGCTGATCTTTATAAAATTTTTCGTTATAGTGAATTTATCATAGCTCCTAATACAATAAATTTAGAAAAAAAATATTAATGGACAGATAACTTTGCCAAAAAGAGTTACTTGCAATGCTTCAAGACATTTAAGAATATACAGTAAAACCTCCCTAAGTGCACCACACTACCATCTTTGGGACCATAGTAAAAAAGGCAAAACATACACTTAAAGTGAGTGTGCATGTATAGAATGAAAAATATATACATCAATGCTCTTATGAGTTGGGACAAGTTATGCTGTGCATTTAGAGAAAATTTACATAGAGCTTGCACTTATAGAGCGTGCATATATATAATAGTACAAATAAGTACTTACTAAATCAGTTACAAATGAAATTATAAAAATTATTTATAATAAATTATTTAGAAATAAATGATAATAATAATAATAATTTTAGAAATTACCGTCGTATATACTAATACTCGAATATTGTTTTCCAAGAACGATGGAATGTATATGTCGAAACGACGTACACTAAATTAATTATTATTGAAACTTTACCGACAAAATTGATTATTTATGCTAATTGACTTATTTAGAATGCTTACATATCACCAGAATTATAGAATTTGGTAAAAACATTAACACCCAATTCAGTATTAATATATTCACAACTAAGATATTTCGCGATATCTTGGAGTTCTGGATAACACGAATCAATGATCAAAAGCACTTCTATTAGTATTTGATAGAGTTTGAACATTTCACTGAAAAATTTTCAGCAGTTATGCAAACAGTTACATTTTTTTTGAATCATAACAGGTTTTAGTTAATTTAGTACATTGAATATAAACTCTTCTCATCTGATTACATATGGAAATATCTAACACTGGCCCATAGGATGATTACAGGCCACATATGGCAAATATTTATGTTGCAATAAAATGTTTACTAGAGCATTTCCCATCAAGATGGATTTAAGATTGATATGAATAAGATTTTTTGAATTTTCGATATTATTATATTTGCTAATATCTGAAGCTATGACAGGTATGTACTGTCCTGTATACCTGTTAATAATAATACAAACAATTTAGTTATTTTGCAATTTCGCCTAGACAATATTAATAATGTTAACAACATTATGGCGGTTTGCAAAAAGGTGTAACCTCAGCAGATCATGATGACATTTAAAATCACGAGAAATCAGGCGATTTTTGTAGATTTTCAATTCTTAGAGAATCTTAAAAATTTCGAATAAATATAGATGTTATTATTGAAAAATATGAACAATAGGGAATTTAAATCTCCAAAATTTTTCCGCTAATATTATTACTAAATCACAGAGACACGCATTTCTGCAAACCGCCATAAATTAAATAATTTCAATTTCTTTGTATAAAATGGTTTTATTATTATTAATGACTACGAATTGGCATAACATTTACTAATACTGTAATATGGAAGATGTTCGTTCGTTCAGCTCTAGAGAGCTACTATGTTGAAACTTCTTCACCTTGAAATAATTGTGCTATTTTATATACAATATTCAAGCAAAAATGATCATAATCAGCGCTTTGTTTATCCTTTTATCGAATAATCGGTATATAGATCGCGATTTAGCAATTAAATGGTCATAGGGCTTATGTAATATTTTTTTAAAAATTAGACCCTTATATGTAATTATTGTTAATTTGAGCCCGTATTTATAATTATCCAAACAACTCATATGATCATGAATTGCCATCTGTCATGTTATTTTTTAGCATATCGTAAATGTGTACAAGGTTGGTGGCGCAGATCACTGAGCTACGAACCAGATTTCAAGATTAGGTGTAACGTAACACGATCAGGATGACTCAAAACAATCGTTCGTTTTGCCAAAAATTGCTCATAGCTCAAAAATCAGCATAAAAACCACCTTTTGTGCTCTAACAAAAAGTTTTTGTTTAACAATTTTACAATATAAACTATCCCTACCTAGACCCTAACTTTGACCCTAACCCTAACCTTAAGAATTTAGTCTTCGTCGCCAACCTTGTACACATTTACGATATGCTATTTTTACATGTGTTACGATGTAATCATGTTTATTCAAATTAAAACTCAGTCAATGACTCCCCACCAATCATGATCATAAATGGCCGGATAACACCAATATTGGGCAATTTGTCGAATACGATAATTTGGCTCAACCGGGCAAATGATTGGCACACATGCCGTTTTGCGGCACGTATTCATTTGCCCCGGTTTTGCCAAATTACCGTTATTCGACAAATTTTACCCAATATTGTATACTTATTTTCACTTTCCGAGCCCTTATTTGTAAATTCCCCATAATTTAACATTGTAAATGTCGATACGTTCAATATATATTTCAAATTACAATGAATCTATATGTATGTAACGTAATTTACATACATACTAGGGGTCTGCAACCCAGGCACGTGCCTGTGCCCAACAAAAGGTCTGGGCATGGGCATAGGCACGAAACCTCAGGCATGGGCATGGGCACAGGCATGAAAGCTCAGGCATGGGCATGAACATGGGCATAAAAAATTGGCATAGGCATAGGCACGGCACAAAAAACTTGGCATGGGCATGGGCACAGGCACAGAAATTTAGTATTTATTATTTAATTATGCCTGGCACTTTGCCCGGCACCTGTGCCCGGCACCTTGTGCCTAGTACTTTGTGCCCATGCCTTTGCTAGTGCCCGGCACTTTGTGCCCATACCTTTAATGGTGCCCGGCACTTTGTGCCCATGCCTACAATAGTGCCTGGCATAAGCCCATATGCCCAGCATGGGCATTTGCAGACCCCTAATACGTACCGATCATGCCGAAAAAATCAATAAATTAATTTGGTCAATCTGTAACGAAATAAATTTTGCTACGACAAAAATAGAAAATAAAGTTGATAAATCGCTCACTTGAAAACAAATATGTTATCTATTTCTGTCAAAATTAGATTCCTGCACGTTAATTCTGAAATCCCTCATTGAATCTATCATGCCGAAATCGCAAGCATAACTGAATCACCCGAAAAATCATTCGACTAATTTTTATCAGGTGTTCAGAAATTATGATAATAGCTGTAAAGAAGGTTGGCCCGCATTTTGCTATGATCTTGACACAACTGGCCCGCAATTTTATTACAGCTATTATCATAATTTCTGGGACACCTGCACATTACCCGAAATCGTTCGGTAAATTACCTAACTCTCCGGAAACTACATCGCTGTCTTCGGACCTTCAGTCCGGAGGCAGTGATGTAATTTCCGGTGAGTTGGGTAATTTACCGAACAATTTCGGGTAATGTGCAGGTGTCCAGAAATTATGATAATAGCTGTTAGTGTTTTCATAAATTCTAGTACACCTGACCAAAGGATTTTTCTGCCGATTCGGTTAGGTTATCATTTTCGATATAACAGATTCAATAATGATAAATTGAAATTTAAGATAAGATATCTAATATACATATTACTTATAAGACTACATACGCATATCTACATTTATGCATCATT